AGTGATTTTTTTTTTCAACTTTCAAAACAACCTGTGGCTTTATAAATGGGAAACTATAGCTTGATTAATCAGAAAAGAGGAAAAATTTCAACCACTGAAAATGGAATTTACCCATACATTTAAAAAAAGTGTAACTCAATTTAAAGGGGTTCCATTGAGGTATTTTGTCATGATGGGACTGAAATATCTTTTCCAGATAAATGTACCGTTTGATGAATGTTTAGAACACTAATCTTTGTACAAACCTTTAGATCATTTGCGCACTTCGTTTTTCCAGAATAATTATTCAAATTGTAAAAAGATGACCCAAAATGAAATGGCTAGACTTTAAATAGATAATAATTTATAAAGGTCAAAATAAAAGGAAACAGGACGTTTCGGCCCCAAACCAAATCGGCCCCAGTCGAAAAATCGGCCCCTGGACGTTTCGGCCCTTTTCCGCGAGACGTTTCGGCCCCACTATAGTATATTGCTTGATTGATTAACAACAATAATTTAATAACAATTAAACAATTATGACACTTTAATTCTTTAAATAATTATTTATTATCTTTTGATCTCTTGAACCATTTAGATGTACGTTAATGTTTTATATTACCTTTCTTTTTATTTATCGACAAACGATGAGAATGAACAATAAAAAGAAAAAAAGAAATAATTATATAAACCGACAAGCGATGCACGACGTTAAATTGTACACCTTTATATTGTGTACTCATCCTTAAAGGCTAAATGAAAAATGTGTGATACTATTATAAAAAATATAACTAACAAACACTTTACTATGGGAAATAAAAATAATGATTTATAATTAGACATGTTTTATAATTAGTATGTTATTTTATTATTTTGTAATTGATACAGACAAAGATAAACATAGACCTGTATATTTTAAGTTTTAAAGAATTTAAAGTTGATTGATTGATATAAGACCTGTTGTTTATCTGTAAGTGTGATGTTTGACACGCGTATCGGTAATTGATTAAATTACCAGCGGCACACTTCTGATTAACAGGATGTTACTTAAAGAAACAAACCTACCTGTTCGGAATATTTTTGTCGGTCATAAAATTTGAATGAATGAATGAATGTTAAAAAAATAATCCAAAAAGGAAGAAAATAAAAAAGATTTAAAAATGGTTAAATTGCGATCTGGTTTTCTTTCCTTTGTTTTATTTGTTTTTTCTCTCTTTGATAGGCATTACACAGAAAGACTATCTAGATGCTATACGTCAGAAAACAGATCTTGAATTCACTTGTAAAGGATGTTCTTCGGTAATTCCACATACTGAACCTTTGTGTCAAGTCAAGTCAAGTCAAATTTCCTTTATTACACACATTTCATGTTAACATGAATAAATGTGGTTAAATCTCCAAACAATATATACGATGAGTAATTGTCCGATAGGCGATTGAAATCGTCTTGAATTTCGGAAAAAGGATCGTCAACTGCATAGTCCGAGTATTCGGGTGGTATATACACAACACCACAGAAAATGTCTGTTTCAGATTTGCATAAAACCTTAGATATCTTAAACCATAATACAAGATCATTATCAGATTCTATGACTGTAACAAATTTGGATAGATTTTTTTTAACTGCTAGAGCTAGACCGCCAGACTTTCTTCTGGTTTTTCTTTTTCGATATTTGAAGTATACATCATAATTTTGTATTTCAATATGATCCAAATTATCAGCTTTAATTTCCTGAAAACCAATTATACTGTGATCATTCACCAACTCGTTAAATTCCGGGCAGTGCAATTTTGATTTAAGTCCGCAAACGTTTAAGGATAAAATCTGAATATTTTTGAGTGCAAAGGATGATGTCTCAGTTTCACGACTGTCGGAATTTGCTATCGCGGTAAAGGAAGAATTTAAGTCGTCTGCATTTTCATATTGGCTTGTGTATACTTGTGAATTGTGAATCAACATATGCAGCGCGTCTTAATTTATGGCTATAAAACATGTGAATATCTTTTGATTAGCAAAAAAGATAAACATAAAACAAACAATTCAATAAATTAACTATAACATAAAGGATGAAATTAATTGTTATTACCATATACGTGATTATACAATTATTTTGAATTGTTACAGGCTACCACCGTAGAATTAATGGAAAGGCCGGTAGAGGGAATGTCCAGATGTATGTACTAATTCCCCTTTTGTACGCGGAAAGTGAACTGGTATCTATTCAAGCACAACAAGTCAATGAATGTTATTTATAAAAAGTGTCTGTTCACATTTGTTTCGTTTCAAGTAAAATTGTTTAACTGTTTGTTAATTGTTTGTTTGTGTATTATATTTTTTCAAATAAAGTTTATGTTCTGTTCTGTTTGTATTAATAAAATATTATCTATATATTTTGTAAATAATTGTTTGTTTGTGTATTATATTTTTTCAAATAAAGTTTATGTTCTGTTCTGTTTGTATAAATGAAATATTATCTATATATGTTGTAAATAAAGTTTATGTTCTGTTCTGTTTGTATTAATAAAATATTATCTATATATGTTGTAAATAATTGTTTGTTTGTGTATTATATTTTTTTTAAATAAAGTTTATGTTCTGTTCTGTTTGTTTTAATACAATATTATCTATATATGTTGTAAATAAAGTTTATGTTCTGTTCTGTTTGTATTGATTACTTTTCCCCTACTACTATCATAATCTAGTTTTTATACAAAATGATTAAATATATATATTAATTGATTCATTTAATCATTTAAATGCTATTAATATATCGGTTTAAAATACAGTACATATTCTGGGGCCGATTTGGTAAAGGGCCGAAACGTCCGGGGCCGAAACGTCTTGGGTAGTTTGGGGCCGATACGTCTTGGGGCCGAAATGTCTCGAAATCAAATAAAATTATTCTGAAATATTCAAGAATGTGCCCCATTTGGTAGAGACGTAACGGCCGTGACAAGACCAAAAAATTGTAGGCGTATATGCCGGTTTTCCTGTAAAGGCAGACATCTGTGTAATATCAATTTGTAAAATCTGTCGGTTTTGCAGTCTATGTATGATCGAAATGTCTTGGGTACGAAAGACTCGAGATCTCCAAATTACTTCGAAATTATTTACGAAAGTTTTAGTCTTTGGAAACAAATTGGCATCAATAAATAAACTTTATATTATTAGTCATCAAATTCATAACATATTTTGCTTTATAACATACCTTATGAGCTTAACAGGCTGATAATTATGCTCGTGAAGTAGGTCGAAAAATATACCGGAAGTTGTCGGATTCATTTAACCTAATTATCGGCTAATTCAGAGACGAATAGATTATCTACATCTCTGGCTAATTCTATTTCAATATCCACTTTGCAATTATAAACTACAAAATTTATCCGATAAATAATGTCTTTTTCAAAAATTCTGGAATATAATACAAAAAAATGTAATGATAAGGCGGATCAGTAAGTTAAATATTGCAAGCGGTCAAGCACTATGACCCAATTAATTTACTATCCCATTCATAGAATTATGTGACCTTTCAAATTATATCCGCTACGTTTCTAATACCGTAATTCAAGCTCAATTGCACATTATTTTCAAAAAATAAATTTCTTGTCTCCACTTCTGTTCGCAATAAATCGAAGTTTTCAGAAATTCAGAGCACTATTTTTCACTCGCGGCGGTTATGCGTCGGTCATGGTCGGGTGATCACTATGAATTCAGCTTACGTTGATATGTTAGAATACAATATAGCATTTAGAGTGGCGATGAAACGTCACAGCAGTGGGCGTTACCCTGTATGGTTGGAAACTTCGGGTTTGTAAGTGCACTACGTCCCAACTAAAAAGCAGTTGAGAAAAAGAAACTCCCGTGTAACTAAGTACACAATCGAACGAACACTTTTCTTTTAACCCAGCGTATGGTAAAACGAAGTAGTAGATTGCTGTGAGTCATGTCAGTTCACATTAGAAGTAAATTATTGATTACTGTTGGTGAATGCAACAAGACAATACTGTATTGATATATCAGCCGTAATTATTGTAATATACTCCAGTCTGGCAGAGAGGAGAACATTCTCATCCACACAAAGCAAATATGTCAAGTTCAGTGTAAAAATGTTTTATCTGAAATAATGTAGGGAAACTTACTTAGTCGATGAACTAACTTCCAAATGTTCAGTTGAATTCTCTTTATTTTGTGTTTGTCACTAAAGTTATTTAATCATCTTTTACTTTACTTGGATTTTTCGTTTTGATAAGTATTTAGACTCCAAAATGATAAACATGCTGGTTTCAATTTTTAAAATGTTTAGTTTATATTTGGTATTCTCAATGCAGTTTAATTGTCAGTAGCATCAGTGCACTGCTAATGTTTTCTTAACATTAGTCAACTGATATACACATATAATCATAATCAAAACAGATAAGCTATGTAACCAGCTTTAGTTACTTTGAAACTTTTATGTTTTTTCAATGTTATTAATGATTCTCACGAAACAACAGGTCATTTATGCTGAAATAACACTATATTTTATCTGGGACAATATATAATATTCTTGCATATCAGACAGGATTGTCTTGCATATCAGACAGGGTTATCTACCGTTTGCACCGGTGCTAGAAAACCCTGTCTGACACCTCCCGTGTAAGCACGCCTTTTATGAATGAATTGCGTTCTTAAAATGACGTCACTTAACCGTTATGAATGAAGTTGTAAATTCATACGCTACTATAAGAAAAAGTACGCAATGAGAATATCAGTTTTCGTAATTTCTGTTCTAAATATAATTGATATGTAATAAGCAAGAAAAGGAATCAAACATTGGCTGTCGGTGCAGAAGGGAATATCTAGCTCTCGGTTAACTGTTTAGCAGAAACTCGGCAGAGCCTTATTACCGCCGTAAACAGTTACCCTCGAGCTAGATATTACGGTCTGTACTGGCAGCCAGTGTAAGATTCTTATAATTTTACACATATAATTTGACTCCTTAATTGATATTGTAATATTATTATATTAAATTTGTTATTAACAGGTTGGTATTCCCGGCCTTGGTGAGAAACATAGGAAGAAACTTAGTTTAAGACAACTACAACAGATGAATTTGGCTTCCATTCAAGTCTTGTATAACGATTTACAAACACAAATTGAAAGTAAGTACATGTATAACAGAGTTCAAAGGGAGACATTCGTGTGTAAAGTTAATGTGTTTGTCTAAGATTTTTACGAATTACTTCAAGAAAATTTATATGTAAAACTGACATTACAGCAATTTTAAAGAAAAACGACCATCTTTTTGTATACAGTACTTTAACATACTTGTTGTAACTGAAATATTGTAAAGTTTTAATGTTTTGCATTTAGCAGAAGTTATCATATAAGATGATTTTGTACTAAGTGATATTAGGTGGCTGAGTTAGAATCCCCATCCAACATTCATTGAATCAAAATATCTTTTTTGACGTTTTTGAATGATTCATTTGTGCATTATTTTCTTCGATGTATGCTTGGAAATAAATTTTTTGTTATCATTTAATCAAAATAATTTTTCAAGTCTTTGGATGATAAACTTTTCTATCAGTTTTGTCAATGTGTACTTAAAATGTATATTTCGTGTTAACTTTTACGATTTATGGTCCTTTTTATACAAGCAATACTTACTGGTCTTAATAAATGTTTTGACAGTTTTTCTAGTATGTCTGATCTGTTTCTATATGAAGTTTTGAGTTAGGAAAACAACATTTCAATGTTAAAATGTCAATAATTGATTTGTAAATAACGTCCTAGCCTAAATTTTTTGTAACATATTCAAATATTCTACAACTTCAATATTAGATGATATTTATAAATTTTGTAATATTTTCAGGTTTAAATGAGGAACTCGTACATCTGCTTATGGAGAGAGACGAGTTACACATGGCCCAGGATTCAATGCTGGTTGATATAGAAGATTTAACAAGGTTAGTCAAGTATTTTTTTTCTTCCACCAACGAAGATGTGGCAATAATTTATAAAAACAAATATTCAGGATGTTAGATAGATATTGAAATGTTTGTCAACTAAAATTATGATTTTATTTTGGTTGAATTTTAAGCTCCACTAACACTGTAAATGTCAAATTATGTGATGTATATGTACACATTCAGTTTGATATTGCTCGGGAAATCAATTTAAATAATGTTCTAGATTTTATCAAATGGCAAACAATATGTTTTTAAGTTTAAGCTTTAGAATTGCCTTATTTCAACATACTTGTTACATATGAACTAGTTAATTTTACATTGTTCCTTTATTTTATTCTGATGCTTAGAACTTTGCCATTACTTGTCTGTCTGATTGTCCAGAACAAATAGAATGAGATTTGCCTCTTCAATCAATTTTTTTTTTGAAAATCTGTATTCAAACGCTATCTATCTTGCATCACATTGATCACTATTGAGCTTTTTATAAAGCTGAATTTTATCATTACACGGTGATTTGATTTTATTGTTACATATTTTAGGAGAGCGGAAGAGTTAGCAGAGCGTGCCAATCGAACTGGAGGGAATAAAGGAAACAAGACAACTAGTGTTAAAGGAAAGCTCCCAGCAAGATAGCATATTATATAACTATTAAATATAAAAAAACTAACATAGACTGTGTTATATAGAACAACACAAGACTGGACGGAAGTTGTCACATGCAAAACCCATGCAAAAGCATTATGACAGTTATGATGAGTAGACTTGCAAATTATACTAAAAGAACATATAGAAATGTCATTTGGAAGTAACATAAATGTAAAGAGTATGTTGTGTTGTACAAGAAAGAGATTTAAAATTTAAAAAAAAGCATAAAACAATACATAGACTATGAAATTTACAATGTACATGTTGAAGTGATCATATGTATGGATATACATATATAGCTAAATAATTATTATAATCTTGCAACTTACAAGTGATTACGGAAAGAAAAGATTGTTTATGTTTAGCGGTTTTAAACCAGTTGATAACTAGGTGTTGAGACATTCCGTAATTAATGGAATAAAGATCTGTGTCATGTGTCCTTTTTCTCTAACAATATATATGTACCGGTAATGTCGTGTAATGCCATTTAGTTGACTTCTTGTATGTTAATTAGTGTTAACATGTATTCTTAAAAAAACAAATAATGCTTTTCTATTGATAATGGTTTTTCCATCTTGTAAATGACTTTAATTTGGATTTTCTTTTGATGGCTTTTAGTTTTAATATGAATATGGTATTTTTTTAAAAGGAAAAGCTAACAAGCTATACTAAGCAACCGTCACCTGGTATCCGTCAACGAAGTGTTAACATAAATCTGGCTTGAGACTTAATGAAGTGAAAAGCTTATACTAATTTGTGATTGTATAATGTTTGGGTCTCATATCACAATTTAATTAACAATGAGCAGAAAGCAATTTCACTTTGTGGCTTGCATTTAATAAATTAACTAATATTTACCAAAATAATTAAACTAATTGTGTTTTTGTTATCACTTTGAGACATATTCATTTAAACTAATCATGTCATATTATACAAGAGATAGCTGCAACAACAAGTATTTAAGGTTTTTCGACAAAATTGTTAAAACAGGATAAGCATCAATTTTTTTTATTTTTTATATTCCGTTTAAATTTCAATAAAGGTAGTATATGAAGAAAGTTTTTATTAATTAATGTGTATTTCATTGATTCGTATATGATATACCTGTGTAATAGTTCGTGCAAATTTGATTATGAAAAAAACCTTGAATGTTACATTTACTTGTTTATTATTGTTATTGTCGGGAGTCAAAAAAACAATTATAAATTCGATAATATCAATATGTTGTTTCATTTGTAGCGCTATTTACAATTTATGACTTGGATCAATAGATGATTAATCAGATACATTAAGAATGAGAGTTTTGGTGTTTGTAAATAAAAATGTAAACAATGTTTCATAATTTTGCTTAGTATATTGTAATGTACTTTTTTGTTAACTGGCACATATTTTTAACTTGTTTTCATGCTAATTCAACATAAATCATTAAAAATGAGATAAATAAAAATATAAATGCTCAAACTTTTGTTTTCATAGAATTAACCATACAAAATATTTTTGTGTGCATCGAATATATCCAAACGTTTGATTTCACATAGTATGCCTCACGTATCTTTTAACAAATGGATTGCCATGTCAGATAGAAATGAAAGGTCTTTTTGTGATTGCTTTAATGTCGCCCTGAAGTGATTGCTTCGCCCTGAAGTGATTGCGTCACCGCTACTACACAACTTGGGTAAAAGTAAAATGTGTGAAAAATATTGAGAGAAAATACAGTTCATCTTGACAAGTGCATTTTAAAATAGAAATTCACATTTTTTGCTTGTGAGTTTCTTTCATGAAAGATGACAGGCAAGAGGGGTAATGTTCTTTAACTGTCACTTTTGAAGAAAATTATTCAATGACATATAATGAATAATTTAATATAAAGGAATAATATTCTGTCGCCATCTTCCGGGTACGATTTCTTTAGACTGATGTAAAAACAACCACATCGTTTTCCATGAATAACACTCGAATGTCATCATGTAGTGTTTATGTAATATAATAAACAAGATCAACAAGGAAAGGCGGCGTTCAATGAACACTGTAAATTGAATGAAATTAATAAATTGAAATACTTAAATGAATGTTATTAAAAAATTGTGTACATAATAATTACTTGTACTGTAGAAGCGTTTTAAAAGCACACGTTTGACCCTATTCGATATTGAGTCTCTGCTGGTGTGATAGTTTGCTGAGTGCTAAATTTTATTACAAAAATAGATCAGAATAGGGAAGTGGGCGAAAGTGAATGGTGATTGAACTTGCAGATAATTGACAGTTCAATATGAATGCACATTCCCAAGTTTTATCCAAACGCTTAGAGATATACTTTCCTGACACGATTCCTTTTGTATTGTTAAGTGGCATATGTGGAGATGAAGAGTAGCTATTGTGTGACATTTGTTTGCATTTCACTACCTTTTCTGACATATTTGATTTACCCATATAATGTTATAAGACACGTATATAGAAACTGACATAATATCAATGTTTTTGCAATCATGACATCAAAAGTTTTTGATAAATTTAAATGCTTCAAATCTATTTTTTCAGTCTGTTTTAAAGTCTCCATCGTATTGCCTTTACTACTCAATGCATTTCTGACAATAATGACCGTGCTTCCTTAGGTTGTCAAGGAGATAAATTACCTGTCTCTTAAGTTAATTATAAATGTTATTAAAAAGATGTAAAAATAATTGTCTGTCTGGTTTTTGCGGATGATACGGTATTGAAAGAATAAAAACAAACAATTAAAGTTCGAACTGCTTTGTGAATATAAAATGTCTCAGCATACAAAACTATTCACTTCATTCATTAAAAAGACATTGAATGTTTATTTAGATACAAATGCATTAACTTTTAGCTCCTAGTTCGTCCTATGCTCGAAAGAAAAACAAAAGAATCGCAGAGTCACTTTAAGTCATCAAAATATCATATTAAGGGTAAATATGAAGTATTTATAACGGAAATCAATGCCGTCAGTCCATGCATACTTAATTCTCAATCAATAATCATAAAACTTCGGATAGTTTTCAAGTATCAGTTATCTGCCATCTAGATACTCGAATGTGTTAGTCTTGGCATGTTTAATAGGACATGCGTTATATAAACAGCACCAGAGTCAAGCATATCATGAATGTGACGTTGTTCTGTTAAAACGTTAATTTTGAAGAAATTATGGTGTACATGTGTATTAATAATTGTGCATTTGTAATGAACCTTTTAAATTTGTTATCATGCAAAATAAGTGACTACTTATTTAAATAATAAGTAAAAAAGATATTTCATAATTTAAGATTTTCAAATCCAGCTTTATCTTTATTAAAAGTAAATGTGTTTTGAAGAATTAAAGTAATAAAATAGTAAAGTAGCATTCAAACTATTGAATTGGACACCATGCAATAAATATGACATCATTTATGTGAGGGATTCAAAGAAGTTATTACAAATATTAAGAGTGGTTTAACATTAAGAATTTTATTACCCAAAAGTCTATGAAAAAATAACCAGTAAGTATTTGGATATTGGAAATAATTTTGCAAAATATCCAGTATGTTGTAGAAGAAATTGATCTTTTTCACAAGATTCAATTACAATGTATTTAAATTCTTACACTACCAGGAGTAATGTAGTGACATATGTAGATATATATATTTAAACAACTATACATGTCTTTTTCTTTTGTGTTCATTACACGCTGCAGAGATTAATCTGTTTGTGAATAGAAGAACAAATAAAACAAGAGCCGGTAGAACCGGGTGATGCTCCCCGAATAGGTTTTGGAAGGTATACCTCTTGTAGTGTCAGAGTTATGTCACAATAAATTTCAAAGTGTAAAAACAACCCAAATGTTGCGCGCGACGAGATCATGCTGTGACACTGACCTTCAAGGTAGCGACCCAAATGTTCACGTCAGTTGTGGTCCGCTAGTTCTCATGATCATTAAATAATATCAACCAAGACAGTAATCAAAGGTAAAATTTGGCTTCTTGTTTTTCACAAGGGTAAACTGTACCAGATTAATTGTCTATGTGCATAGTATATATCGATAGCATTGAACAATCAACGTGGATTCTATAACCATTTCTTCAATGAAAATTTGCACTTTTGACCGTGTTATAATTCACACTGTTATTTTACAACTTGAGTAAACAGAAACAATAATTGATAATGAAGGAACCCCGTGACGTTACCGTGTAATAAGGAATAAAATTTTGTATAATGATATTAAAAAGTTTTTTTTTCTTCATCTAAAATGTAAAATATTTGCAAAATACTGAAGGAGATCATTGTACATGTATATCTTTACAAATACATTTGAAATAAAACATATTTACAGTTCTCTTTATTCTTGTGTGTTCCATAAATACGAGGATAGGTCAATATGTAATTAAATATGGTCAGTAATGTTAACAAAGAGCAAATATTCTACAATTATCTATTTCAACTCACCGGAATAATCTCCTGCAGAAATACACAGTTTTAGAGGTTAAATCCAGTTTTTAATGTTTCAACATAGTTTTCCTTGGGTATACCTTTCAGTAACTGAAAACTTGCCGACCCTATTCAATTTCTACCTTGTAGTGTTGACCTACAAGATGTTTTGTCAGTTCAATCTAAGTAAGAGAAAAAAGTCACAGGGTGCCAAGTCAGAAGAATACGGTGGATGTTTAAGGACTGTCACTCGTTTTTCATTACTCATTTGTGTGCAGGAGCGTTGTCATGCAGAAAATACAGGTCTTTAATCTCAGTCGAAGGTCGAACTTTATTGAACTCTTTTTCAATTTTTATTAATACTACATCTTTATAATACTTGGATATGACAGAATTGCGATAATCATGGAACCTTCAATGTGATACATAGTGCCACTCCATGAAAAGCGGCATATGGTTCCAAAGTAAAAATCAGAAGACAGAAATAGAAATGTTTCGTTGTGATTTTGTTTTAGTTGGACTTAAAGCCACAAACGCTGTAAAAGTCAGATTATGTGATAAATATTAATACATTAAGTTTAATTTTGCTACCGTAATCGATTTAAATATGATTTTTTTTAGATTTTATCAAATTGCAAACAAGATGTGTTTTTATGCCCTCTTTCGAAGAAATTGGGATATTTTGTTTTGCTAAAGTCTGTTAGTCGGTAGACCACTTTGTTTCCGGTCAAGAACCAGAGAACCATTTTACCCATAGCCGCCTTCAAACCTCATAGGAGGAACACTCTTATTGAGAAGAAGACATATACTGTTTTTGGCGCCCTGCGAGAAGGTCAAGAAAAGAGCGATCTTGAATGTGAAAACCGTTTACAGAAGCATTTCACCCATAGCCTTCAATTTATAGGATGATCACACTTTTCATTAAATTTGGTTTTTATCCAAAAATGAAAACTTTTTTTAAAGGAAAAAGCTAGCAAGCTACTTTAGGCAACCATGAAATGGTATTTATCAGCAAGTAAAAAGATACAAGAGTAAATTGAATTTCCTTAGATAACACTATCTACAGAATAAAGTGTAAAGCTTATACAAATTTGGATTGCATTTTCTAGGCAACAGGTAGAGATTGAAGTATTAATGAGCAGAGAGAATCTTTTTGCTATCACTTTGAGACATATTCATTTTAACCTATCAGACCCCTAATGTTCAGAAGATAACTGACACATGTATTTGACATTTGTTTGACTATTTTAGTTTTAATTTCAATCAAGATAGTATATATTTATCAATGTCTGTTATTTCATTGATTCATATCTAACAAACATCGTGTTAATAATTATGAAAAACCTTGAATATTTTATTTAATAATTGTTTTATTATTGCTATTGTTGGGAGTCAATTATAACTTCGATGCTATCAATACGGTAATTAAATTGTTGCGTTGTTTACAATTTATGACTCGGATCAATAAATGAATTATATATATAGATATATTAACCCTTTACCTCATATATACGCGAAACAACGCACTTTCGACCCCCCCCCATTTTTTAGGCCTGAAATAGTGAAAAAATGTCCTATTTGGGCCCCAAACACATGTTTTCGTTTGAGAAATGTTGCTAAAAAAGGTGAGCACTTTTTCGGCGCCGCCCCCATCCAAAAGATACATCAGGGGGTTGCCAGAAGGGGGATGACCCCACTTCTGTTTTGGGGGTTTGAAGGGGGGCGGAGTCCCCCTCATCGCCAAGAAAATTTTGGACTTGTGAGAGGCTTAAAATGACCCCAGGTCGATCATAAGGTAACGTGTAACCAACGCTGAAAAGCCTTTGACTCTATCTCAATCCCTTGAGAAGTTGCAGCACTTTGAAATAAATTTTGATGGAAAAAATCGAGGCAAAATAGTGATTTTTGGCAATTTTGAGATGTCCCCTCGTTGCAATGGTAACAGAAAATTTAAGACTGAGCATGTCGTTACAAAGGCAATGGTCCAGTCAACATTTTTGCCAAGTTTGATTAGTATTGAAGCAGTTTTCATAGTTTCATAG